CCTACACAAAGAGTCAGCTGCTTATTTAGAAATATAAATATTTTTAAACCAAACTATACTGACAGCTAAGAAGCACATGATTATAATGTAATATACACATTTTCTTAGAATAGCAAATGTTTAACAGTCTTTTAACCGTTTGGCTCCATGGCTTGGTATGAATGGAGGGAAAAATGTTTTGGTGTAAAAGTAGTAAGTCTTAAGGAGCTTGTGCTAGGATATTCTATTCCTCTAACCTGGGATTTCTCAGCATTTTGGCCTCGGCTATTTCTGTTGTGGCCCAGGGGGCTGTCCTGTGCACTAATATCCTTGGCCTCCACCTCCATTTGGACCACATGCCCCCCAGCTGATAGCCAAACATGTCTGCAGACTAATGCCCTGTGAGCAGGCAAGGTGGACCACACTTGAGAATAACTGCTCAACGTGGGACCAGCAGTTGGCATAATGACTATGTCGCTGGACTCCCATGTAGTCGACCGCAGTTCGAGTCCCGGACCCGGTGGCTTAGATTCACGCTGGGCACATGTGCGTGTGTGCCCAAGATCCAGAGAGGAGAATGGAGGAGAAGGGGTTGCAGCGTGGCCATCTCCCTTGCGGGGTGATGTCTCTCTGTTGTTCTGGCAAGCGCATGCACCCTATAGAAAAAAACCTCTCCAAAAGAAAAAAAAGAATAACTGCAACGCAAAGTGCCAGGTATTAACCACAACTGCTCTGGGTACAGCACATGTGGATGTGACCATGAGCAAGACGGTGACCATAGCAAGAGATGGGGAGTACAGGTTGAACCGGGGGGGACTAGCCCCTTTATTACGAGTATGACTTTAGACCTCAGGAGTTCCAGGGAAGTGTTGACACAAACTTCACGCACCTTCCTTGAGATAGTACCACTCCTTGCCCCCGCCTGTTTGTTCCTGATTAATATCTTGTCATCTCTGCTGTTCATTGATTCTGGCCTGTTCCTGTCTGCCCTAGATCTGTCGACCTCGGTGGAGATGGCGAGCAGCTGGGTATAATTTTCCATATAATGACATCCCAAACACCTTGAAGACAGTCATTCAGTTCCTATGTAGCTTTCGCTTCTCCACGGTAAATAATCAGTTCTTGCAAACTTTGCTTTTATAGGTCTTCTTTTTCAGTACTTCTACCAGTTAGTTCAGTTAGTTCCCTTTGCAGTTTCCAATCTCCCCTAAATGTCTCAGTGAATTTCACACCACGATTTTAGAATAATACCCTAACGTGCAAATGATAATAATGAATGTAAAAGACACTACAATTTATCAAGTGCTCATTATGTTTCAAGCATTGCAACTTTTTATTCTCATTATGCCCTGCAAAGTCAGCTTTATTTTCTTTAGTTTATTGATGTGGAAACTGAGACCTGATCAATTAAGCTGCTTCCTCACAGTCAGATCTCTAGTTCGGTACATAGTTGTGATCTGGGAGCACAGATCCCCTACATGTAGCCAGTGACCTTTTCCTCCCCCCCAGTATCACCTTCTGGAACATCAGATCCACGTGCAGGGTACTTATGCACTTCTTATTCCTAATATTTAAAAAATGCAATAGCTACAGACTTTCAAGGCAACTGTGAATGTCTTCTGAATTTGATACGAGGTTATTTTCCTCCTCACTTACTCTCAAGGTGAGAATTCCATAACCCAATTAAGATAGTGCCAATGTACTAGGTCTCTTCATTATATGGATATTAACTTTAGAAAAAAGTTAACTTTTTCTTCTTTCTAAAAACATGGCCAACATGACCAAGATAAAAAAAAAAACAAAAAACAAAAAACAAGCCAAGACAGACTTTGAAAGGTGGGCAAATGCACGGTGGTGTTTTCTGAATGGAGTTATTCATTACTGAGGCAAGAGAAGGACATAAAGTTAAAGACTGGAGTGTTTCCAGGTATGGACTGAGCTCTGCCTTGGCTACAGAAGCTCAGCGCACTCAGGGCTTTTTTTTCCCCCTCCCGTGGCAGCAGTGACAACTGTGGGTCTTTCTTGATTTCACACCTCTCAAAATTACTTTGGGTAAGAAATCAAGGCCTGAATCACACTCATTGTGACTCAGCTTCCAGCACTGGCTGCAAAAATATTATGACTTCACCAGTTCGGCTACAAGATGGATTGTGTCTCTCATCTCCTCCTACTCAAAAGATGCTTGGTGCTGCAGGACTTAAAACCCGAGAGGCTGGGCCCTATAGTAATGCCACACTGAAGCACACGTGTACTAAGGCACAAGGGCTGAGCTGTGCATGCTATCAAGCTCCTGTAGAACTCGGAGAAAAACCTGCAGACTGGCAACTGCCAAGGAGTCACTTCTACTCAAATTAGCAAAAGAACCCATGTGGAGTCCAGGATTACCAAGTAAAAATTCTTCCTGAAAGGCAGACCACAACATACATGGGTTTCCTTCCCAGAACATGCCAACTCTAAATGATCAGGGAGAGATCTGGAAGTCCTTCACATCGATAAACTGTGTATGCAAATTACTATTCTAGAAGACTGAGTTGCTCTTTGGGTGAACCAAATACCCATTCATTACTCTCTCTAGGCCAAACAAGTGACAAAGGTTGAGTACTAGAAAAAGCTACTAAGAAAATAACATTATTTGAGGGTCAGATGATGACACACCAGTGAAACACAATGCTCGGAGAAACAATCCCATACACGAAGGTTCCTGGATCAAGTCAAGAGACCTCCCTGAAAATGCTGCGCACATGTGTGCCCATGATCCTGGCTAAAGGCAAGGAGTAGATGCCCTCCAAGTCCCTGTAGGGGTGCTGTCTTTCTGCCTTCTTCTCTCTCTTCTTCAAGGAAAAAAAAAAAAACCGTTTTAAAAAGAAGAAATAACATTATTAAAAGAAAAATAATCACCCTGCAACATAACAATAGACATAAGCAAAATAGCTCCTGGCAAGAAGTCTTAAGTACTGGTGTTGGGACCAGCAGATGGTATAATGGTTATGTTGCTGGACTCCCACAGAGTCAACCATGGTTCAAGTCCTGGAGCCGGAGGCTTAAAACTCATACCAGACGTATGTGTGCATGCCCAAAATCCCAAAAAGAGAATGGAGGAGAAGGAATTGAGGCAAGGCCATCATCCAGGGGGTGATTTCTCACTTTCTGTCTCTCTTTGTCTCTCCAGTGAGCACACAAACCCTATAGCAAATAATCTCTCTTAAAAAAAAAAAAAAGTTTTGATGTTAGGCAGACTGCCACCCTCCAGCGAGAGAGAAAGCTCAAAACAGCACCTCTAATTCTAACAAGTAAATGTATTTGCAGGAGTTGGATGAGAATAAGTAACTTCACTGAATAAAAGTAAAGATCAGCAAACTCAC